ACTTAGATGCCATAAATCCTTTTTTTGCTCGAGTTTTCTGTTTCATGGTGTGGAAACATTCAAAAGCCACTAGAATAATGTTGTCTGTTATAAACCTTCCAGGAATGAAAGCACTCTACTGCTCCCCTATGACATGATTCAGCGCCTGTTTAAGCCTGTTTGCAAGTACTTTTGACAATATTTTGTAAAGTACATTGCACAGACTTATAGGTCTGAATGCCATTGGAGAAGTCGGTTTGTTTTTCTTCGGTACCAAAGCAATCAAGTTCTTGTTTAGTTCCATGGGAAACTCCCCAACCTCTAAGTAGGTTGTCAACTCACATAGAACTGTCTGCCCTACAATGTGACAATGTTTCTAAAAGAAACGAGCAGACATTCCATCTGGTCCAAGGACCTTGTTTGGGCCCATGTTCTTCAACGCCATCCATATTTCCTCTTCTGTGAATGGCTGAAGAAGTGTCTGGTTCATTTCTGTCGTCATTCCAGGGGTGACTAAAGGAAGAATTCTACTCACCTCTGCTCTTCTTCCTTTGGCAAATAAGCCCTGCATATACCCTAGCAGGCAATTTGTCACTTCCTGTTGGCCTGTAAAAACACGACCAGTTTCATCTTGGAGCCTTCTTATAGTGTTTTTCCTTCGTCTCTCAGAGAATTTCCTATGAAAATAACTCGTGTTTTGATCCCCCTCTTTTAACCAATCGGCCCTTGATCTCTGTTTCCACTTTATTTCTTCTTGGAGGATGATGTCGTTTAATTCTTGTTCATGTACTTTCCTCTGTTGTAGCATTGACTTGGTTCATTTTCTCTTTTCCAGAGCTTGTAAAGCTTTTTCTGCTTTCTTACTTCTCACCTTTTTCTGCCTTCTTCCTACTCAGCTTTAGAGATCCAAAAGCTTCCTTGCTCCAGGTAATCAGCTTTTCCTCACATTGTTTTATGCGCTCCATAGACCCAACTCTCCCTTGTTGATTCCATGCCTCTTCACTTATCTTATTGAAATCCTCATGCTTCTCCCAGTATGGTTCATAGCGAAATGACCATCCCCAAGTAATATCTTCTTCCTCCAAATCAAGTTTAACTTGAATGGGTACATGGTCTGATCCGCATCTCTCAAAGTGGTAGACTCTCATGTTTGGATAAAGTTCCTTCCATTCCCTGTTTCCAATAGCTCTGTCCAGACTTTCTTCTGTATAGTATTGATCAGCTCGATTATTTTCCCAGGTGAAAGTTCGACCGTAATAGCCACAGTCTTCTAGGTTGCAAAACTCAATTGCTTCCCTGAACATTTCCATTTCCTTTGCATCAGGTTCCCTATTTCCACTCTTTTCCAGATAGTCTGTGATTAGGTTGAAATCCCCAATCACTAACCATGGTAACTGAATCTGTTGGCTCAGTCTTTCCAGTAATTCACATGTCTGTCGTTTATGACTTGCTTCAGGCCACCCATAAATCCTTGTGAGCCTCCAGGGCTGTTTGCAATTTGGCAGTTTGATTTACATATCTATATAATGCAAATCTCTGCCCTTAACCTCCACCAAAATATCTTCTTTCCACATCATCAATAGTCCCCCGCTCTATTCTCACCTGCTGCCGCTCCTTTTCCATAAAAAAAACCAATCTCTTTAATTTTCTTTTTCCATTCTTACTCATATTGCTTCGTTTCCATAAGAAAAACGACATCGGGATTGGTATGACGTAGTGATAACGATGTATTTGCACGTGTTTACACCCTTATTTCTTATCCGTTTGTGGCCCCTAGTCGTGTATCTTTGGCCTATTTTATGCTGGATTGTGCTATTTTGTCACATTTCAGGTCCCAAGCGTCGAAGGAAAGGTTAGGCACGAGTTTCGGATCGTTTGGAGATCGTTCGGTGAGCCTGGATAAAAAACATGGGTAGCCCTGACCAAAACACAGTTGTGTTCCTCAGGCCGTGTTTTTACTGCCGAGAGCGTGCTCGTGAGGGCTGCTGAGGATCCAAAACACGGGCGCCGTGGGACCAAAACAAGGTCGTGTCACTTCATGGGCACGACCGTGTTTTGGGAGCGACGCGGGCGTGTTTGCCATACTTGAAGCAAAACAAGGGCGGGCAGAAGCAGAGCACGGCTGTGTCCTCGACCGTGTTTTGCCCAATCTCGGATTAAAGGAAGATTTGAGCCAAAGAGAGAGGGGAATCCGTTTTTGTGAGCAAGAGAGAAAAAAACCTAGAGAGAAAGTGACGAACAGAATTTCTAAGTCCTAAATCGATCTTCAACCCCATTAGAGCTCGGTGGAAGCTTGGAGAAGTGCTGATTGATTACCAGAAGCAGATCGTCATCTTTCACAGTATGAATTCCGCATCTAAAGCAGATTTTCCTTCACTCTCTATGGAGTAAACTCCCTTTTTCACCTGTGTATGAAGAACCCTAGATTTGTATGTTAGGTCTGATTGTATGAACCCAAGTACAAATTCTTTGATAATGATTATATTCAATTGAGACATAGTTTTATGAATTGCATGAATACTGATCAAATTCCTGTTATTCCTGCTCTGACCTAGAATGAGAATATTTACCTAGTTTGATAGAGCACCCTTGATTGAAGGTAGTGAATTGACGACTTTAGTCGAGGAGTCAATTCACTATTCTGTACTGGATTTATTCCAATAGAGGAGGTTTGATAAGTTAGGGCCTTAGTCAGTTTACTCCGGTGGAGGTTAGTCGCCCGCTGGAGACTCGGATTGAGAGGGTCTGGAGACCTTTAGTCGAGACTGCAGACTGTCTAAGAACGTCTCGCAGTATAATTATCATTGAATCTGAACTTGGCAAATTACAAATTGGCTTAACTGCAGTCTAGGGGGAACCATATCTGGGCGACCTCTCTCAAACTTGGAAAACAACATTTACTGCTTTTGCTTGCTAGTTTAGTTGAAACTTCACTATAGGTTAACCGCTAAATATTAAGAATCCCACGGAGTAGTCATCACACCTAGGACCCAGGTTAACATTTAGAATTAACCCCGCTATACTACGCATTAGCAGGTGGTTATACTTGACCACTTTCTAGTGTGACGGTACAGGCGAGTCACGTAGTAATGTCTTAAGCTTCTCAACTGCCGGGGTATTCCCAAGACCTCAGCAGTTGTAGCTCAAAAGACTCATTGAGCTGGGCGGCTCTGCTCCTTGGCATAGTCCGCCACATCGCCATCCTTTGCTCTTTCTGTATTTTTTGTGTGAGCTGTCTCTTCAGGAAGCTTGAAAGTTAGTTTCTTGGCTTTCTTAGCTTTTACTTCCGCTGCCTCTTCGATGTTTCCTTGCTCCCCAGTATTCAGAACGTTTCTCTTCTGGGGGGTTATTTGTGTAGGGGTGTGTACTCGTTCCTTATTCTGCTCCTTTTTGCTCCAGACTTTATTTCTGCTTCGGGGCCATGTTCTCCAGCTCTCAGGTCCATCCCAAATGTTAGTCCTGATGGTTTTGGGCATCGCATCTTTGGATGCCCAATGCGACCATATGAGTAACAAAAAATGGGTGATTTTTCATACTTCACCATGTACTCAACTAGCTGCCCCTTGATATTGAGCTTTCTTTTCCTTCTAAGAGGGTTGTTGATAGAAAGACTCACCCTCAGGCCTCAACCTCATATATGTATCCCACATTGATCGAGGGCTATCATCAAACCAAATGAGGGAGCCAAATCTGTTGGCTATTTTCTCCGCCATTGTTTGCGTTCTCAGTTCCTCGGGAATCTCTTTGATTTGAATCCATCTATCTAGCATGTGTAGGGCTTCAAGTGTAGGTTTCTTTATCAGTAGACTTGCCATGAACACCATAGCATTGTTTTCATAATGTCAGGGCCCCCGAAGCAGACCCTATCTCGATCGTCTTCATCTAGGAATTGAAAAGCAAAAAGCATATCTCCCAACTCTGTTATTTGGAAATTTTTCTTCAGATTCCATGCCTTTGCCAAGGCGATCTTTAACGATTTGATGTTTGGTGTTTTTTCAGCTACAAGGCGAACAATCAAACCTAATCGACGAACCGCCTCCATTCTGAAGACATCCATGTCGTTGTCATAGACGTCCAGAGGAGTATCGTCTTCATCCGCCAATGTGATATTGTCCAGCTGGACTTCCAGACTTTCTGACGTGCTTTGGAGCTCAGGCTCCCTTTCAAATTCTCATATCTCCATAGCCCACTCTGATGTAATCTTTCGAAACGAAACTTGCTTGTAGGGTTCTGTGATTCATATCTGCCAAAATTCGAAAGTAGGTTTTGTATTGCACAAAGAAAACCTTGGCAACAAAACCCTAAAACGTCTTTCGTCTGCTTCACGACTCAGTCAAAATAGTAGGATTTCTCCCGAAAATAGTTAACTCGTATTAGAGAAGGACAAAGATTCCTTACGCTTACGTATTCCAAGAACTTCGAGCTGAAAATACTGTGTCCGTCAAATAGCTACTCCCGGAAAAACTAGGGTTTTCGCCGCCCTGCTCTCGCTAAACGAGAGAAAAAAACCATCAATTAAGTTTTAAGCACGAAATATTCTATTACTAACTTTTCTAGTACAATTTGCTGTTTGGCGATTCTTACATGAGAACGGACTGAAAAACTACTTGTCTAGAGGGTTTGTTTTACCGTTGCGCTCAGTTGCACATCAACTAATTAGTCAATGGGTTCTGGTCCATTCGCAACGAAATAAGGCATCATCACATTTATTATTATATAAATTCTAGCAAGCGCAGGTATCCACTTTCCCCCATTAGCAGGAATTCAGAGTTTTCGTTCCTTATTTAGGTCAGTTCAGCTCCCGAATAAAATCTCACAAACAGGCAAAAAGACAAAGGACCAACATATACTACATACCTGCATGCAATTGATTAAAACCTTCTGACATACGCTACGCTGGCTGGCTGTCTGGCTGGCGATAAAGACCAAATCAACCCTGCCTGCCACCTGTCTTCTTCGCTTTTTTAACGCTTTCTGGTGGATTTCTTCCCCTTTATAATCGAAACGAACCAGGTGAACGAGAGTAAGTAAAAAAGTTTGTTCTTGCTTCAGTATTGTTCGAAGGGAAGAGAGACTAGAGAAGAGAGAGAGAGAGGGAGAGCCCTTTTATCTTTCATTTTCGCAGCGAGCGAGATCAACAATGATGTCTTGGACGCGGGTTTGGAAGGGGATTCTGATAGATCTTGTGAAGATGGCTGTCTACTGTGGCGCGCTCTTGCTCGCTAGCGAAGGCCACCGCCGCTATTCCTTTGCCTATGGTCTCCTCCTCACCACTGTAAGTCTCTCCCTCTTTCTCTCTGTGTTTTCTTTCTTCCATGCTTTTCTGATCTTTCTCGTCTGTATATATTTTTTTTTTTATAGGTCGTAATGATCTCCGCCCAAGCGACCAATCACTACTTGCAGGGACTCAAAGGGAAGTGGCAGGGCCCTCCTCAGCCTCTGCCGCCGGCGAAAGACGCTACTGCGGAGCCAGCTACCAAGTACTGATTAGCTAGTCGTGTCCCGCCGTCTCCTTCGTTGTAGTAGCGAACAGCTTAATCAAAATTAGTAGAAGTAGCTTGTGTTGACTGTTGTTAAGAAAACTCCGACTCGTTCTCAGTTCTTAGATCCCTCCTTAGTTGGCTATTAATGTTTACCTATGTGGGTTCTTAATCTGTTGATGGGGTTGCATCCATGAACTCAGTAATGTAATGGCTGCCTAGCTAGCTTGTCCTCTTTGTTATGTGGGTAATCCTCTCCAGTTAGATGCGTTGATGAAATGGCATTTGAGAAAGTATCCCACGAACGACAACGGCCCTGGATCCGCCTGGTATACCTAGGCCAAGTGACACGCTCACTGAGTAAAAAAAAAATAAAAGTGCTTTTAATGTGATTAAGATATGATTTTTAAATTCAATTAACTGTTGCGATTGATAAATTTTGTTATGGATGCCAGGATGTGAGTTTTCGCTTTAAAACTAGTGTGGGGGGCTTTATGCCTGATTCAACCAACACGTTTGACATGATTTCCAGTATTGTTTGATAGAGTTTTATTTGTATCTTGAATTTTTTTTTTATCTTAACCAAATCGCATCTTTATTTTATATCTTCGATCCATAAATCTTCATGTGAAATGTTACAAGCTAGCACCATTAGTTATGATATCGAGTTTTATTATCACTTACAAATAGTTATTTGTATTTATTCAACTATGGTTATTGCACACTATGGCAAAAAAAAAAAAAAAGACTGTGGAGATTGCACTCGGAAACAATCTATTCGTGGAATCTCAACCCGAATTAACACGTTTGTTTCTTGTGCTCCGAAAGTTCCATCTTACTCTCAATAGTCAACTAGTTTTTGCCACGGCCCGTTGGCCGGTTACTTTAGATTACCCATACATTGGTTGGGAGTGGAAGTGAGAGTGAAAGTGGAAGAACATCTATTTCGAGATAATTGCTTATTCAAAATATTGATAGAGCATTAAAGTTACTTTAGATTACCCACTCATTCAGTGACCATGATGAGTACATGTGCTTCTACACTCTCACTCATCATATGTACGTTTTTTTTTTGTGAAACAATCACTCGTTTTCTTTCGCCGCATTTGTTAATTCACAAATTTTTGTGCATAATTCGCGCTTCATCTAAAGAAGATTGCAAATCTTTTTCGATTTCTTCCAAATACACATGTTTAGCGTCACTCCACTATCATATATTTTGTAGATATATAAATAGACAACAAACTTGTTTAAGTGTTATTAGTTATGGCCAAAGTTGTTAACCCGATTTCAATCGTTGAATCCTTCAAACAAGTGGATTAAGGGTCGATGGTCGAATTGAATTAACTTCGTGTAGCCAAATTTTACCGAGATATATGAAAAAATTTATTTGTTCCACTTGTATGGTGCTTAGATATTTATGATAAACATAGGTCCAATGATATTTTAATATAATTCATTGGGATGAATTGAATTTATTGGTACTTTTTTATACTTATTTCTCTCTTTTGGAGTGACGCTTTAATTCTCAAACCCTTCCCTCTTTCTTTTCCTTTTCTATACGTTCTTTCCTTCTTTACATTGCTAGGTCTCATATTCCATTCTCAATATTTTTTTTTATATTTTTTCTCCAATTCGATTTCAAGAGCATATACAAATGAGGAACTTGGCTTCTGTTAGTCATACTCGCACAAAGTATCAGTCCAAATGCATGTTCCTCTTACTTTTTTATTTTTTCTTTGCATGAGACGACGTCGATTGGCTCAATGAATGTGCGGAAAGAAGAAAAATGGAATTGACTACAGAGAGATTATGAAGTCTTCTAAGATGGTTAAGACTCGTATTGTTTCCTGTCAAACCTAAATGAAATAGAAGAGATGATGGGATTGTCAAACATGGGTTGTTGATCCTCACTGATGTATGGGTATGCGATAAGAAAAAGCACGACATGACGAAGAAACTACGGATATGATTTTTGAAAACGACTTCATTTTGAAGTGGCCTTGTGCTCGAACCAATTTGTAGAATCGGTTGGATTTATCAATTTGATTGGGTTTTCCTGGGTTTAACTGAGCCCGATTTGATAACCAACTGAGAGTTCAGAGCAAGGTGAGATACTCGGGTTTGAGCATAATTGCTTCAACTGACTGATTCAACTCGAATTGACAATTATGGTTATGATTCTTGTTTTTATTTGAAGATACATTAGTTCAATCCAATACTTGCCTATTTTCTAATAAATAATAAAATAAATAATTGTGAATCAAAAATATCATTCCTACTTTCGCTCTCGTTGTAGAAAATTTGAAATGAGAGAATTATTTCCTTATTCTAGTATTATATATTTTGTAGAGTGTATATGTAGACATTTCCTTACCCTACAAATTCATTAACACATTAGAAAAAAGTTGAACTGAACCAATTTATTAAACTCAACCTCGTCTACTTATTGTCGGGGTCCAATCATGTAAGAATAGGAAGAGGTTTACAATTTAGCCGTTTGCCAAACCAAAATGTTCAAAGAACCAATCCCATATTGTTTAGACAAAGATATGAATATGATTATTTCATAATAGTTCCAAAAATAAATACTAATTTTAGATTTTTATATAACTTCTGCATATTCAGTACTCCAATTCGATATGAAATATTCGAACTAATGATATTTGAGTTGTGATTTTAAATTTAACCTCAGGAGCCATGTTTCCCTACCCAGTCCATTAATTACTCTCCGCCCTCCCCCACCATTTCCAACTCACTCCCCATCCTCCAACACTTGCCCGGCCCAACACGATTCCTCTCCTCCTAATACATCCCTTGCCCCCTCCCCCAACTCCACCACCAGCTCGGCCCACCCAACACATGCCGGCCCATCTCACCTGTCCCGATCAGTTCAACCCTTACCCGCCACCTCTTGTCCACCAACCCTTCCTGAGAACAAGTTACTACTAACCTCTCCCACAATATCTTAATGAGTTTTCTTGCCCTTCAAGAATTAAGTCGTATGATTTACATTTACTAATTCTTTCAAATGACACATTTACATTGCTATTTTTCACTCGCCGCGAAGCGCAGCGAGCTTATCTAGTTTTCAATTTACAACTCGATCATAAAGCATTCAATGAGAGTAAATATTGATCAAACAAACAAAACCAATTGAACACCGATACGAAAGTTGATGTGACTTGTAAACCATCAAGCAAGTTGGAGAGTGCTCAATATGAGAAGTTGAGTAGCTCGATTAATGCGATCATAATCTACCAAAATAATCAATACAAATTTTAATATAAAGTTCACTTTTTCAAGAGTTCGATATTGTCTTGCCTTATACAATTTTACGAAATGTTGGAGATGACAACTCTTTCCAAGATTCTGCAGAAATCGTATCGACCTTCCTTGATACATTAACTACATAGAATTATACATAGAAATTATGCTTCCTAAACAGGGATAAAAAGATCACGGAATAAAGGGATGCAATCAATCTAGACTCTCAATGGGAATAAAGCAAGCCATTTAATGAATGCCTCACAACCAGTAGTCCTTAAACACATCAATGATTAAACTCCCACTACTAATTACATTCTCTTTATCTACCTATCTATCCCTATATACTAACCCAATATCTTAAAGAGCTTGTTAGTTCAAATTCGATTAGAGAGCTAAAATTCTACACTAACTTGCTAAAGTGGCAATTTCTTCTAAGGTCCCTGTCTCCTGAGCATCCACATTTGTAGAGATAATAAGCAAAACGAACGTAGCTTCATGATCTAAATGTTTAGCATAAAAAGATTACGTTTGTTTGGTTGAATTAGAGCATATAGTTGGATTTGACAGCCCTTACTTCTTTGATTTCTCATGAGTAACTCAATATGGAATCATATCATTGGAATGTAAAGTCGAATAATGCACAATCAATCTCAATCAACCTGTAGATGGAGTGATGTTATGACATTGTATAACAATAATCTTGACTCATTCCTTAACAGCCAATGCCATAGCTTGCAATTCGTAGGTGAACCATTCAAGCTCCAACTTTTGGAATTCACTCTTCTTTCTCAAGAACCTGCAGATAAGAATCCAAATGAATCAGAAACACATCAATGGAATAATGAATTCACTCTTTTGTCTCAAGAACATGCATACAGGAATTCAAACGCAACATAAACACTTTATAACAAATTTGGATTTCAACGCGTTACCTCAGTTAAACACTTTTTTCCTAATGGTGATATCATTTTATTAAACCAAAAATTTAGGAAAAGGACACAGCAAATCACCTCGATGTGGACGGTGGATAGTGTCCGTTGAAATGAGCCATAAGCTTAATGCCCCAGATACGATAGCCTAGATCGGGGTGACTGGAACATGGATTTAGGTGAGGCATACTCAGAGACGTGTGGATAACCACGAAATATATCAACAAAAAATATAATTAGTTTGTTATCGCTACGAAGCGCGAACAAAAAAATAGTAAGATTTATTGTAATAACTCCCTGATTTAAACTGAAACCAAATCATTGATCTAAACTGAAAGTTTGGAAAGTAGGAAGGAATGACCCATGATATTTTATTTACATATGTTATCAAAGTTCTTACATCAATTTGTAAAAAACCAACGATAAACTTTGCCGGTAGTGATGATGATCCTCACATAATGGTACTAAATTCCAATCCCAAACAAAGACCTAACCAAACCGAAACGATGAATTAAGCAACAGTAACTTCAATCCAGGCGCCATTAACAAGTAGTCAACAATCAACATACATAGTTCCTTGCAAACCAGATGGCGTCGAATTGCGGATTCTCGTACCGCCTTAACACGGTCTAGCGGCAGTATCACATCAATCCTTCTTGTAATGTCTGTCTGTCTATGGCTCATTGGCTCTAATGCTATCTCTTACAGATCTTCCCTTTTCTACGAAATGTCTAATCGGTCTTATTAGAAACCCTTCGGAATTCGGATCATAGATAGCTAGCTTGGCAGGTAGCACCAAAAAGACCAACATGCCCTCCTCTCTCCCTTTTTATTATAAAACAAATAAAAATCTTAGGATCCGTGTAGCTTCGTCATTCGCAAGAGAGAGGAGAGAGAAGGAGCATTGTAGCAGCGATCAGCAGCAGCCAGCAGGTATGGGATTCTGGAGGAAGTTGGGGTTCGATTTCTTCAAGATCTTCGCCATCGCCGGCGTGTACTACTTGCTCCGAACCAGCTACTGCTGCTGCTACTACAAAGAACTAATTACGAGTCGTCCCGATCAGTAACTTTGTGTCCCGTCTCT